AATTTGTCACATGAGGAAGTCTCGTGTGCTGATACCCTTCTGCAGAGAGGATTAATCTGCCAGGAACATAGGTGAAGATTTGGCGCTACTTCAAAAAACATTTGAAGCAGATCATTCTCTACATTTTCCCCTAATTGATTATAAATAAGGAGTGCCATAATAGTACTGTGACAGATGAAGATCTGAGAGGTGTTATCTGAAGGGCAAGCTGAAGGCAGGATGTCTGAACACTGGAAAGCAATTTACGAAAAGAACAAGACATCTTCCTTTACCACGCCATGGAGTAAACCTAACTCTATCAAATTTTATATGGAAAATGACCACTTTTTCTTCTGTGGGATATTCTTTATTTTAAAAAATCAGATTGTAGATAGTTTGCTCAATTACAAGGGTGTAGGCAGATATCAGAAGATGAGCAATTAGGCTTCTGTGTGTGTGTGTGTGTGTGTGTGTGTGTAATGCACACACCTGAAATACAGTCATTCTGAATAAATTGCTGGAGACTTGAATCAGGTTGAATTTAGGACCAAAAATAGCATTATTTTTTAATCTTTGAACTGAAATAATTTGGCATAATGTCACATTTAATTGTGTGGGCTTCAGAGTCTGGAAGAACTGGGTTCAAACTCAATTTTGGTATTAATATTCCTGCACAACACTGGGCAAGGTATGCCTTCTCTCTTAGCCCTCAGTTCTCCATACAAAATGTGATAGTGTGATTGCTGGGAGGATAGATTCTAAAGCTGATGTGAAGCGCGGAATGAGTGCTCAGCCAGTGGCTCCTATAAGCATTTTTTTAATTTTTATTACTTGAAACTGTGGACAATATAAAAATATGTATAACCTAATTCATCAGTGAGAGCTGGAATTGAAACTTTAGATCTGGCTTTTCAAAACAAAACTCACCAGATATTTGCCTCCAAGTCCCTGAGCCCAGCAGAGCTCACAGGACTCAGCAGCAACCTCTGCCGCTCCGGGCTCTTCTCCTGCCTCCTGGTCGACCCCAAATCTTCTCTCTTCTCCACACCTGCCACTTGTCAACACCTTGATCCCTTTATCTGCAGACAGTTCTGCCTTTCATCATTAGGTGAGCTCATGAATGCCAGGTCTGGTGGAGACGCCCTTTCTGGTTCTCTCACGTGGTGTCTGGTGTCTGACAAAAATATCTAAAAGGTGTGTGTTGCTGATAGTCAGGAGCTGCGGCAGGCAGGTTTCCCCCAAGCCCTCAATGTGCAGAGCACACAGGAGACCTGCTCCTGGAATCCACTTCCCCACTGCTCCCTGCTCCATTCCTTGAATGGAGTACTTCCCAGAGCACAGTATCTAGAGCTTTCTCCACATTGGCCGTGTCTTTTGAGTACAGAAAGCTTGACAGATTTCTAAGACAAAGAACCTCAACACAAGCTATAATCTGCAACCATCAAACTTATTTATCTGAGATATTTTGTGTGATATTATTTCTCTTATTAATGCCTTCCCTTTACAGTAAATGTATATGTTATAGGAATTAAATTTAATTCTGCGTTTATTATCCAGAAGATAATGACAAATATGAAAGTCTTTAATTATCTGTCGGCTCATTTTTAAATTCACAAACGTATTCATCCTTTTTTTCATGAAGAGGTCAATCTCAATTTTTATTTGGTTCATTTTCACATTTGGGACTCTTCCTTTGTTTTAACCAAGTGAAAACACACTGTTTCCAAAATTCCTATTTATGCCTTTTATGTATAGCAACACGAAGTCATTAGAGTAGAATATATTTATGCTGATTATGCCTTAAAAATGAAATAAACAAAGCAAATTCTATTATTTGGATTACATGGCAGCCTATATTTTGAATGATCATATAATGATTTCAACATTTCTTATGTTCCTGAGAAGAAGCATTCAGAAACTTTTCTCAGCATCTATTTTTTTTTTTTTTTTGCTTTCAAAAGTAATTTATTTGGATTTTCCATATCCTTTAATGAATTGCAAATATATTAACAGAAAAGACTTTACCCCCCCCCAAGACTGTACAATTTCTGAAATAAGTCAGGAAAAGCAAAAAAAGAAGACACAAAATTACATTGTTTCAATGCATATATAACACACACATCACACCCACACTTGCATTTTCCCAGGTTTTCACAAAGAAAACAGGTCACCATATTTCTCTTGAAGGCCCATACTATACTCTGGCTAAACAGAGACTTGCAAACTTTTTTCTTCAAAAAGAGCATTTTTAATAGACTAAATACTGGTTATCACTGAGTTTTTGTTTAAGGTACAACAGCAGCATGGTTCAAATATTACTTGCAGTTCTTGGAAAAAAATAAAAATTTCAAAGTAATGAAATACAGAAAAAGTAGGACCACCTTTCATTATTTTAAGTACCATTGTTCTCTTGAAAAAATATTTCCAACCTTCTAAAATGCCAGAGTTAAGAACCATTTCCAAGGGGGAAAATATCCAATGCCACAACATAACTTCTGAACGAGTGTGTGTGTGTGTATACACACGTGTGAAAGGCTTAAAGAGAAAAAATGATGTTGAAGTACTTAGTATTTCTGATTTCCTTCAAAATATCTGAAATTTGAAGCAAACATTTCGCTTGATTAAAATGCGTATCTTCTTCTGGTTATTTGATCCCCATACTACACAAAAAAGAAAGAAGAGAAAGCCAGAAACAGTAAGTAGGGAGGAAATGCTTCCAACAGCCAAATGACTTTGAAAGTAGAGGTGTGAGGAAAATGCAATCAGATCAATCCTGGGCTGATTATCGATCAACCAACCATCTCCATGCTGTGCCTCCCACAACTATCCTTTTATTCTTGGTCTCAAAATTAGTACTAGAAAGACTTACTTCTGGCATAGGACATAAATTCCTACTACACAACATAACTAATTATACATCAGCAAATTGTTTTCTGAGCATAGCTTTCTCCAAGCTCTGTAACAAAGAGCTCAGATCAAAGCTTTCTATGAAACTCTATATCTGATACTGTTATACAGTTGGCTTATGATTTGCCAATTAAAAAAATAAAAGAATATAAAATTAAATATTACAGAACTAATGGATAATAAAATGGAATATTTGTTAGAATTCAAGTGCTAGCCTTGGGGAATCCTTAATGATATTCATTTACTCCCAATTTTTCCTTTTACTTTTTTTTTGTTGTTGTTTAGTCCTTTTTCTTATAAATTATTTTTTTAGGCAGCACATAAACAGATTTAGGTAGGAAATTTTGTTAAATACCTCTCTGGCACCCCAATACCCAATCTAACACTCTGACTTGAATTAGTTTATAATGCAATTTAATCCGTATTCAAATAAGCAGATTAATAGTAAATGATAGAAAATTACTGAGACTACGGGCTAAAATTTCTCCACATCTTCTGTAATCCACCTTATTTTCACAGCTTGACTAACAAAATACAGGTAACCAGTAGATAAGTTCGCCCTTCATCAAATAATCCACAACAATAACTGTAGGCCTGTCATTTGTAAGAAACTATAAATTTGTTATATTCTGATATTGGCACTTAATAAAATGTTAACAACTAAAGTTTCTCTAAAAATTTCAAACATTACAATAAAGGAGATACACAATTTAAAACTTTAAATCAGTTACTGTGAAATTCCAATAATTCCCATTTTATTATGCATAATTAGATCTTTAAAACTGTGGTCATTCCCCAAAGACATCAATCTATATTATGATAAACTCAAGAGAGAACTTGTCTCCTTCATAACAGTAGGTGGTTTTTTGTTTTTATTTTGCAGCTAAACATTTCTGATATTCTAAACCCAATCACTCCCAGTACATGTTTTGGTGGCTCACACTATTGGAAATAATCTGGAGCAGAGAGCAGAAAAGAATGGAAATGACCTCACCAAAGGTAACCACACTTTCTTGCACCTTGCTTAAACACTTAAGGAAAGTCAAAGCGATACCTGTCTTGAACAAATATGAATTCAAGGTTATGGTAGGATTCTGATTGTATTAAGGCTTTCACTATCATGATCTCTTAAAGTCTTTCCATTTAGTATTCTCATTTGATTCTTCTGGTGAACTTATATTGTTATTAAGAGCCTTGTTTTGGCTTTTCAGTGGGCAACCCCTCTATCATCTCTGAAAGTTGAAGGTGATCCCACAGAGCTCAAAGAGAAGAGGAAAAATGTTAAGGACCAATTTTAAAGTTTGTAATACCAAGATAACAATGATCAACACTTTGAGGCAAGATGAATAAATGAAAATTCTTGGTTAGACATTAAAGTATTCTTGCCAAGAATAAGTGTACACTGTATGGAGGAATATTGATTCCTACATATGAGTCCCTATATGCTCATTATATTTGTTTATGGGAGACATTGAAGTTTAATTTACATTCCTTGGCAATCAGGTTACTCTGTTATAGGCAATGTCTTTTATTGTTCCATCTGGCACTTGCTAACACTATTCTTGAAGAACCTAGAAATGAAGGTCAGTCACTTTGTTTATCAGGAAGAGAACCAAGTAAAAACAAATTTTTGGAAAAACGACTAAGAGATTCTGGTTCATCACTATTTTCCATATCTAATGGTTCCTTCAGGATAAAACATAACTCTTCCTTCCATGATAGCTTTCCAACAAAGGGAGATTAAAGAAAAAAAAGAAAGAAAAAGAAAGTTTCCCACCCTATCCCCTCTAAACTGTCATTCATACTGGTGAAAGAGCCAGTCTTGTTAGCAGCTAAATATTGCACTGCCTTTCATTCTGTGTACAGTCAGGGTCCAATGAAAGTGGCACACTCAGGATATAAGTGATGGATGATGACATTGCTGGCTCAAGAGTGAAGACTCAGTATATGGAAGGACAAGAAACATGTCAGCACAAGTCACACATCCAGTTGCAAAGGTCTGATTTCCAGAAGTTAAAATTCATTACTTTCAGCTGCATGAAGTTGTGTGTCATCCGCATCGGTCATGCTGCTCTCCTGGGATTCATCTGTTCCCATAATCTGTTCTTCTTGGGTTATTGGCTCTTCATCATCTGGAAGGTAGCGTTTATCAATTGCCTCTTTAATCTGGTTATTGGCTCCTTTAGGATCTTTCCTATTAAGAAGTAAACGAGGGATTCTTTGGGAACAATTTGCTTCAATTCTTCAAGTTCTTGTAAAGCAGACTTATATTTTTCATTTGCAAATAAAACTGAGGCTCTGTGAAATTTGCATAGAGGGTTCTTAGGATCAATAACAATGGCTTTGTTTAGGGTATCCAAAGCCTTCTCAGATTTTTTCAGTGCGTGCTGAACTACTCCAATGTGGCAAAGCAAAACTGAACTTTGAGGGTTGATGTCAAGTGCTTTCTGGAAATGCATTTCTGCAAGGCTGAATTTTTCTTGCTTGTAATAAATCGTTCCTAAACCATACCATGCATTATAATGTCTAGGATTGACTCTGATAGCATTTCGAAAACAAGCTAATGCTTCGTCTAATTCTTCAGTTAACACAAACTCGTGCCCTAATAGAGTATAGGCATAAGCATAATTTGGATCAACCTGGATAGCTCTCTGGAAGAATTTAATTGCAATATCATGTTCCTGCTGCAAACTGAAACAGTTCCCTGCAGCACGCCAGGCCTCTGGTGAATTTTTATCCATATCTGTTAAGTCTTTTGAAAGAACTGAAAGAGCAACATCCTTTTGAAGATGCCAAAGTGTTGTAGAGTAGATCTCCATGCCTTCGACTCTGTAATTTTCAATTCTCCTAACTTCTGAGAATATTCTTTCAGCTTGCATGTACTCTGAAAGTTTGAAATAGGCCCTTCCAATTTGGCACAGCACCCAACCAGTACTGTAGCGGTGAGAAGGTAGGTGGCTCAAGATATTAATAGCTTCTTTGCAGTTGTATGAACACAAAGCTAAATAACCTTTCCCCATTTCACGAAGAAGGCTCATCAAACCTGCTGCTGCTTTCTGTAGATTAAATGCCTGGATCTGAGGTGTAATTGTAGAGATTTTTCCTTCTGAAATGATTGAAGAATCTAATTTTGTGATTTCCAGGCTATCATTTATGTTAGGTTGAGTTATTCCTCCTTTATTAATTTTACTTTTTGTTTTTCTATTTGGAATTTTAGGTGGAAACTTCATTTTTAATTTTTTGCTATTCTCCTTGGTTGTAGAGCTGTCACTAGTAAAAACTCGTGAACTTCTTCGAGGCAGTGCATTTGGGGGAGATGTGATAGTGGGGCTCAATACCTGAGGTGTTGTACTTGTTTGTGGGGCAGAACTCTGAGTCTGTGCAACAGGAATTGGAGTTACCTCTCGACTGTTTCCACTCTGTGAGAAGACAGACTTTGTTCCAGTTTGGCCGATTCTGGCAATAGACAGCGACCGTTACCGGGGGATGGGGGAGGCCGAGCGAGAGCCGAGTACCTCCGAGCGGGACACGGAAAAACCCGAAGTGGAGAGACACGCGCGGGAGCCAGACGGAAAGACCCCTCTCAGCATCTATTTTTAAGTGCCACAGAAAGCTTGGAGTGTGTGTAGTAATCTGTCTGTTGCCTGCTGGCAAGATTAGACTTACATTGTCCCCAGTAGGAAGCTACAGAACTCTGAATTTTTTTTTTTTTACAACTTCTCTAATGTATACAAAGTATTTACATCAGAAATGCCAGGAAAAAACGAAGGGGACAATAAAACATAATCATATTATTTCTGAGGAGTTGCTGACAAGTCTTACTTTCCCTTCCCTTTGACTGGAAACATTTTGCTCATTTTGGCTTATCTTGCCTTTCATACTGTTTTCTTTTCTTTTCTCCTTCTTATGGGTCTAATTATTTTTGCCAAGAAAATTGATGATTCAGGAAGAGGAGTGACAGTTTGAGGGCAGTTATTCTCCAGTTGATGGAGTGAACTGGAGGGCTTGCACATGGAGAACACTTGTGATCTCCAGTGTTCCAAACAGAGGCCAGGCTTCCCGGAACAGCCTGGCCACACTCTGCTGTTCATCAGGGTCAGGGCTGCTGACTGCCAACTAATTAACAGACACTTTTTGGCTCCCTCAGGGTCACCAAGTTGATCTGGGTGCTTGGAAACAGAAGCCAAGTGTGCATGCCTGCAGCAGAGTCTGCACTGACCGGTCCTAAAACCCAGATCTAAGGAGGAGAGAAGGTGTGCACAGGGGTGAGAAAGACCAGCGGTCACACTTGGCCCAGAGTGCTGGGGCCAAACGAGTGAGTAAGCCCTCTCATCTGGAGGTCCCTGAGCTGCGACTTGCTGGCGTGGCAGCATCCTAAGGGCCACTGGGAGTGTGGGGTCAAGAGGCCGGGTTGCTGAGAATTTCAGTTAAGTGGAGCAAACAAATGAACTGCACTCAATGCTTCTGCCACTGAAAATTAGAAACCTCCAAGTCCTGGTGTCAGAGATTGTCCTTGACTTTCAATTCATAGTCTGCATTTTAATGGTATCATAAGATAGAGTGAGGACAAGAAGCCTCTTACTCCTGAAGCCCGTGTCTGGTTGGCCTAGCGTGCACCGTCCTGAAGTCACACCTGTCAGGTCCGCATCAGTAGGATGGTTCCTTCCCCTCAGGAAGCCTCAACCATGGTCTAGGGCAACCTTCGGACCACACCCATTATTTGAAGCTGCCAACCATTCGAGCTTGTGAACTGTAAATTCCTCATTCACACCCAGAACTTTGTTGAAGTCTGTCTCTCACTGTACCTTAAACTTGTGCTCACTTCCCCACATCATGATGTTTTGTTTCTTGGTCTCTCCAGGGCATTCCATGTCCTCTGACTCTAGCGTCACTGGCCTCCAACTCAGTGCAACGATGTTCTTGGGGACCCTGAGGACCCTTCACTATCTTTACTTCCATGTCCATCTTCCTCAAATTCTGCTTTCTTCTACGCTGGCCTTAACCCACTCCAGTATTCTTGCCTGGAGAATCCCAGGGACAGAGGAGCCTGGTGGGCTGCTGTCCACGGGATCTTACAGAGTTGGACATGACTGATGCGACTTCGCAGCAGCAGCAGTAGTGTGCTGTCCTTGGTTGCTGAACATAGCTGGAGAAATTAATAGACTATAGCCAAAAAGTCTCGCATTCTTTATTTGGTAAAAAGTGATTGCTTCCTTCTTGGAAAAATCTACAGGCTTTGTATCTCACCCCACCCCCTGACCATGACATCTCATTCTGCCTTAATTCTTTATCTGTCGTGTTGTAACACACTTCTTTCAGACAAGGATATTGTCTTATTTGTCTTTTTATAATAGCACCAGATCAATATCAACAAACAGGACAATCTACTAGATAGAATGTGTTTAGCAAGTATTTATTACTTTGGGTAAAAAAGAATGAAGAGAACAGTTTGATAATTGCTAAAAAACTACCTCCACAGGTGAAAGTTGTATGTGATCTGCAACATCTGGTTGGATATTGTCTTATGTTACTAACTTATTGCCTCTTTTGTGTAAATCTCATCCAAATGAAAGACCTGTAAATTAAATAATACCATGCTATATTTATCTTGAAATTCCAACATCATTTATCCAATGGCTAAATAATCCACCAAGTGACAGGATGAAAAAGGACCCTAGAAGTGGTTATAGAGACTAACTACACTGGAATCACTCTGGAGGCTTATGAAACAGGATTTCTTGTACTATAGCCAGGACTCCCTGAAACAGGATTTTGGGGGCCCAAATTCATGTGACTTTAAGAATTCCCGATGTAGCTCTGTTCTAAAGATAGGTTTTGGAGCCACAAATTTAGCCCACATTTCACATTTTTCAAATGAATAAGCTGAGTAAGGGCCAGGGAACTTTAGCGACTGTCTGAAGTGTCATAGCAGAAAGGATCCGACGTCCCTCCGTCCCTCCCGCTGCTGGCGGACTGCCTTTGCCCAGGCCCGGCTGTTCCGCCGACAGACCTCACAGCCAGCCCCGCCTTAGAGCATCAGGTCGTCTCCACAGTGCTGCCCGCCTGAGGCCTGTGCCTCGGCTCAGGCTTGAGCTACCTTTCCACCTTGAGGCTTCCTGAGGCCTGCCCTGCGTTCACGCACACACAAGCCATAAGTGCAGGGAGGCCATCTCCCTGCCAGTGCAAGCAGGGAAGGAGCTGATGCCCCTTGCCTTCACCTCTTTAGCAGCTGATTTTGGGAGGCATTTTATATGCACTGCAGAAGGTCCTAGTGACCAACAGATACTGCCCTCTTGTGTAAACTATCCCTGCTTTCCCGCTTCACTTTCCTTGGTCTTTCATTTCTGCTTCCAAAGTCACTTCTGAGGTAGTGTGCACGTAAAATCTTGCCTTTGGTTCTGTTTTGAGAAAGTGTAGACTAAAATGGGCCCTTAAAATGGGAGATTTTGGAGCCAGGTCTAAGCAATGAGGACCCCATTGTGAGCAGAGTGAAGTGAAAGTGGCTCAGTCGTGTCTGATTCTTTGTGACCCCACAGACTATACAATACTTGGGATTCTCCAGGCCAGAATACTGGAGTGGGTGATCTTCCCCTTCTCCAGGTGTCGAACCCAGGTCTCCTGCATTGTAGGAGGATTCTTTACCAGCTGAACCACCAGGGAAGCCCAAGAATACTGGAATGGGTAGCTGTTCCCTCCTTCAGGGGATCTTCCCAACAACCCAGGAATCAAACCGGGGTCTCCTGCACTGCAGGCGGATTCTTTACCAGCTGAGCTGCTAGCAAAGGCCATGCACTCGCATCCCTACTAGGACTCTTCCTTGGTAACTGGAATGGAAGCAGTTGAAACACGGGCCTTATTGGACTCTGGGAGTTAGACAATTTAGGAACAACATAAGGGAAATGATCATGGACAGGGCTGGCTTATGTTAACTGCTTGGAAAACTTGAAAAACAGATTAATTGGCCTAGGAACTAGCAACCCAGCCAAGAACCCCTGTGGCTGGTTCTTGAGTGTTGTGAGGGTGGCTCCCAGAGCACTGACGTCCTCCAGGAAAGAGCAGAGATGGCAGATCGACCTAGCTCAAGTGTTGAGGAAAGACCATGGTTTTGGAGAGGCAGGAATATTAAAGCAGATTTATCACATGATACCAATATATTCCTTTGAGGCACCATGGAGAGCGTCCCCTTCCATAAGGCTAACAAGTCTATTGATAAAGAGATACTGGCATCATATGGTAATGTGTGAATACTGAAGTCTGGGGTTGACAGTATGAGATGAAGCTGAATTGGGTTAGCTTGGGTTTTCTTGTATAATTTAGGATTACAGGGCTCCAGAATGGCAGGGACCAGGTGGTAGCACCAAACTTTAGAGCAAAGTGTCCAAAATGGCTGAAAAGAGCAAGCAAAGCCCAGAGGTCTGTGTCAGGCGATGGGAGTCACTTGTGCTCCCAGTGCAGAAACAGGTAAATGGCTTACTTAACGTGTTGTTTGGGTTAGGGAACAGAGAATCAAGTTGTTGTGACTGCTATCTTGTGCTTTCAAAAGGTCACTTTGTACTGTAGAAAACAGGATTAAGTAGCAAACATAAGTACAGGAAGACAGCCTGAAGACTTTGAATGATAAAGGTGAGCTAGGGGGTCATGGCCCAGGCCAGGAGGGGAGGGGAGGTGGGTGGAAGGACCAGGGGTGTGTCTGCCAGTGGAGATGATGGAATTTGCTGCAAGACTGGATGCCAGGTAGGATGGGAATAAGAACCAAGGATAATTTCCATATTTCTAGGTCAAGGAGCTTAGAGGATGCTGGCACCAAGAATCGCCAGGGGGCCAGGGAGAAGAGCAGGCTGTGGAGGGAGTGAGCATTCTCCCTAGGATGGGCCACACTGGGAATCTGATACCCATCTGGTGGTCAAGCCTAGGCTGTCAGACGAGGTGGAGGCACAGATTTAATAAACACTTCCGTGTCGCTTGATATCACACCCTTGGATGAGAATTCCTGGAGAGACCCTGCAGGCAGGGAAGACAGAGGTGGGTGCACATGACATGCTCTGGTGACCTCTAACCGCTATGGAGAAGAATCTAGGCAAGGATACTGCAGTGGCACAGCCAGTGAGGCCAGAGGAAGTCCCCAAAGATCATGTTTGTGAGGCGAGCAGAAGTAATGCCATGGCAGGCAGCTTAGATTAGGAGTAGGCCTTCCTACTTCTGGGTGGTAAGATTATCAGGCCACCTGGATACAACCAATCAGCTTAACACTGACCGCTGTTTGCCAATTAGGAACAGGGCGGAAACCCCCAGGAAAGTCCCATGCGCACGAAAGTTTTAAGTGTGTTTGACCAATGAAATTGCTTTGCAAACTTGTAACCAATCCGCTTAAACCAACTACCAATGGCGTGTGCTCACCCTATAAATTTGTGTAACAGCTTGGGCTCGGGGCTTTCTGACCCCGCACCACTGCGTTG